AGCCCGGCCTTCGGCCCCAACCCCTGCGCCGCTCGCCAGGTCCGCAATCGCCCCAGACGACTGTGCGTCCCGGCCACCCGGCCTGCCCTCGTGCGTGCTTCGGTCCGAGCCGGCCTTCGAGCTGTTGGTCGCCACGGGCCGGGCCATGCCGAGTCGCCGCGTCGCCAGAGCGTCCGCTGCGCCGGAGCTGGGGGCCTTGGGTAAGCGGAGCGGAGGGTCTGAGGCGGGACTCGGGGGAGTTCTGGGGGGCTCGGAGTCCTCTGAGTCCCGCAGGACTCTGGAGCTTTCCCACGGAGAGTGAGGTTGGCGGGGACACTGAGACGGAAGGCAAGGAGGCAGCAGATGGAGAAGGGTCCGGCCCGAGGTACAGGCTAGGGCGTCCCGCAGAGGAGTGAGAAGGGGGCGGGGCCTGAGCCTGAGGCAAAGAAGGGGGCGGGGCTCCGCGTCCAGCGAGAGGAGGGGCGGGGCCTGACGGTGCTTGACGGTGAGAGGGGCGGGGCGTCCGAGAGGGCGAAGGGGAGGAGCCCGGCTCATCGAGTGGGCGAGGCCTGCCCAATTCGAGGAAGCGAAGGGGGACTCTTAGGGGCAAAGGGGCGGGGCCTGGTGCTGAGGCTAGAAAGGGGCGGGGCATGACTTGAAGGAGGAGGAGCCCGAGGTGTTCTTGACAGACGTAGGAGCGGGGCCAGGCTCAGAGAGGCTGAGGAGAGGTGTGGCTCATATAGTGGGCGGAACCTTCCATAAGGGGAAGGGGCCTGATTCGTAGGGACAAGGGGACGGGGTCTGGCCTTAGAGGCCGCGACGGGGCGGGGCGTGACAGGCCTAGTGGAGGAGAAGGGACTGTTCGGGAGAGCGAAGGGCAGAGCCTGATGCAGAGACTGAGAAGGGGCGTGGCCTGCCGCGAGAAGGAGCCTGGGCGGGTTCTCTAGTGACAAAGTCAAGAAGGGGTCGGGGCTCGCCCAGCGGGAAGAAAGGACGTGGGGTTTTCCTGCTTACAGGAGTCCTCAAAGCCCGACCTTAACCGGGAAAACATCGGGTTTCGAGTGGTGATGGGCGGGGTGGATGTCAGAAACGAAAAGCCAGGACCTGGCCAAGAGTTAGAGAAGGAAGCCTGGCCTGACCCGCGCGCGGTAAGGGGGCGGGGCCTGATTCAAAGAGGCGGGGCAAGGAAAGGAGCAGTGCTTGTTAGGATCTCTCTGGTCCTCTCCCTGCCGCACATCATCCCCTGAGCCATGCCTCCCTCTCACAGGTTCCGGAGACCTTTCTTCGCTCTCAAGGACCACAGGTGAGTCGCCCTCCACAGCCCTGCGCACCTGCTTGTAGGAGATGGGACTGGGGGAGTCCCGTGGAGTGGGGCCGAGTGCACCCTCTCCATAGGTTGTGTCCCCCTATGCCCGTTGAGATGACTGCTTAAGTGTCCGTACTTCCAAGATCCTTAGAAACTTCTATAGTACCATTTACTGGTCCCCTAAGAGGAGCCCTTTTAGAGAGTCCCCACGATATAGCATTTTGGGTCTTGGAGCTGAAGTTTACATAAGATGCTTCCACGCCCTCACTGGGTGAATATCCACAAGTCACTTTCCTAACTAGGCCTCAGTTTTCTTCATCTGTAAGATGGATATCATGCCAATTTGTTTCTTTGTGGGGATTGAGAAGGTTGGATGAGTTGATGCAGATTAAAATGTGCAAAGCCCCAAGTGGCTGGCACACAGGGAGAATTCTTAGGGGCACAGCGTAATCATAATATGGTAATAACAACTGTTATTAGACAGCCATAAATTCTCAGACCATGTGCACCAGCATCACATGGAAGTGTTGTAAAAAAAGAAAGAAACCAGGCATGGTGGCGCCTGCCTTTAATCCCAGCACTTGGGAGGCAGAGGCAGATCTCTTGTGAGATCTAGGCCAACCTGGTCTACATAGTGAGTTCCAAGCCAGGTGGAACTATGGAGACCCTGTCTCAAAACAAGACTATTTTCTGGAGGGGTGGGGGTGCATGCCTGTATTCCAGCATTGAGGAGGCTGAGGCAGGAGGATTGGCATAGGTTTGAAGCCAGTCGGGACTGCATAGTGAGTTTGAGACCAGTCTGGGCTGCATAGTAAGACCCTGCATCAAAATCAAAACAAAACAGGTGCTGCAGAGATGGCTCAGTGGTTAAGAGCACTGACTGCTCTTGCAGAGGACCTGGGTTCGATTCCTAGCACACACGGCAGCTACAAACTGTCCTTAATTCCAGTTCCAGGGAAACCCGAAGCCTTCTTCTGATCTCTGTGGCATTGCATGACATGGGTGCACTCACATACACACAGGCAATACACTCATACATATAAAAATAAAAATAGTAAATAAGCCAGGTGTGGTGACCCATGACTTTAATCCCAGCACTTGGGAGGCAGAGGCAGGTGGATCTCTGTGAGTTTGAAGCCAGCCTGGTCTCCATAGTGAATCTAGGACAGCTGGGGCTACAGGGAGACCCTGTCTCAAAAAGACCAAATAATAATAATAATAATAATAATAATAATAATAATAATAATAGTAATAGTAAATAAAATAAAAAATCAAAACAAAGGAATGAAAAACTAGATGAACTAAGGATGTATGTAGCTCAGTTGGTAGAGTGCTTGTCTAGCATGTAAGAGGCCCTGGGTTGGATCCCCAGCACCACATAAACTGGATTTATTGGTTCACACCTGTAATCCCAGCATTTAGGAGCAAAAAGCTATAGACCCAGGAGCTCAAGGTCATTATCCTTAGTCGTAAAATAGAGTTAGAGGCCTAACTGGGCAACTGGAGATCCAGTTTCACAATGAAACAGACAAACAAACAAAAAACCCAAGGACATACTGGCCATGGTGGTCCACACTATTAATCCCAGCACTCTAGAAGCAGAGGCAGGTAGATCTCTGTGAGTTCAAAGGAGCCTGTTCTACATAGTGAGTTCCAGGCCAGCTGTGGCTACAGGGAGACCCTGTCTTAAAAACAAAAAACTGAGAACTTTTTTTCCCTGATATTTGGAGAAGGTTGGATACTAACACTGTGAACACACAGTAGCCTTGGTTGGTTGGCTGGCTATGTCTGTACATCTCTTTGGGAGTAGATTCTTCTAGGTGGACCCTAGAAGTCCTGGAGTGGACATGGAAGAGGGCTGAGATTTTAAAGATGTGAATGGCCAGGACATGAAAAGTTCAAATGCTGGTTCTGGGCAGGAACAAGCTGAGACTTGTGTGTCCTGAGATAATAGAACTGACATCATCTGTTCAGTAATATTTACTGAGTACCTGTTCTATACCTGACCCACTCTTAGGCCCTGCTGGGGATGCAGCAGTGACAGAGATAGTCCCAGCCCTGTCTTCACAGGGTTCCCTACCCAGACAGTGTGGCAGGCAGTTATTATGAACAATAAATGAAATGTGGGATTGTAAAATATAATAAGGGCTATGAAGAAATCTTGGGGTCAATAATATTTGATACTAGGGTGGGGACAGGATGATGAAGGGGGTCAAGTGGGAGGGCAAATTCCTTCATTTTGATGAGCCAGGCACAAACAGAGGTCTGGGTACAGGGAGAATGTAGCAGGTGTGGTCCCCACTCTTTGGAACTCGTAGTCTGTAGTGTCATTTAGTATAAGCACTTCAAACATAATGGGAGAGTATAAAACTACTGAACCCCATCTCCATGCCCAGCCTGAAAGCAAGAGTCTTCCTAAGTTACCCAAGCTGGCCTGGAAGAAACACAATCTTCCTACCTCAATGTCCTGAGTGCTGGGATGACAGCCGTTTCCCCTGGTGTCAGGTCCCATGAGCCTATTGAGTACCCCCAAGTTGAAATTCTCTAGGTTTGGTTTGGTTTGGATTTTTTTAAATTTTAAAATATTTTATTTCTTATTTTTATTTTATATGTATGAGTGTATTGCCTGCATGTAGGTAAGTGCACCCATGTCGTGCAGTGCCCTCGGAGGACTGAAGAGGTTTTTGGATCCCCTAGAACCACAGTTACTGACAGTTGTTAGCTACCATGTGGGTGCTGGGATTCAAACCCAGATCTTCTGCAAGAACAGCCAGTGTTCTTAACCACTGAACCATCTCTCCAAAAATCCTGGTTTGGATTTTTTTTTTTTTTTGTCTTTTTGAGACAGGGTCTCCCTGTAGCCCCAGCTGGCCTGGAACTCACTTGTAGACCAGACTAGCCTTGGACTCACAGAGATCTGCCTGCCTCTGCCTCCAGAGTGCTGGGATTAAAGGCATGTGCCACCATACCCGGCCTGGTTTGGATTTTTGAGACCGGGTCTCACTCTGTAGCTTAGGCTTGCCTGGAACTCACTATGTAGCCCAGGCTGGCCTCAAACTAATGTCAGTCCTCCTCCAGTCATGTGCCACCATGCCTGGTAGTTCAAGAGTGTCTTTGGATCCCTGGTTTCCTCCAGCATAGATGTCTTCTCAGAACGGCTTTCCAAGATGAAATGATTTGGGGTTGGTCCTGCCAGTGACCTTGAGCAGGTCCCTCTAATCTCCAATACACCCATCTTCCTGGAGGGGACCTTGGTGCCTAGTGACCTCACAGATTAAAAAAGATAAGGGGTACATGAATATTACCTTCCAAGGGGCAAAGTTCTGACTGCTAGGAACCACTCCCTTAGAATGGAGCTAGGAAGAGGAAGAGGAGGGATCTGGTAGGTCCTGGTTGATCAGTCCCCAGCCAGCAGCCTGCACAACAGCTCTGGGTGGGACATAGGTCCGGTCACCCTCTCTGCTGTGTGACTTCGGGGCTTGTTTTCTTCCTCTCGTCCTGTCTGGGGAATGACGAATGACGGGAGGTTGGTTTTGTTTTCTTGATTCCTGAGTATTGGGGAAGTGACAGGGCTTTGCTGGGAACCTGGCATGACCGTTACTCCTCCTCTTCTCCTGGAAAGCAGGGGTGGGCCCACGATTTCAAGAGCTGGACTAGGGTGCAAAGCAGGCAGGCAGTCCCTGAATTTGATCAGCTTCATATTCAGATAACAGCCATAATTGCTGGGGCCCAGGCTGGACTCTGAGGATGGAACAGCTGCACAATTTATTTAGAACTGTGCACGTCCAGTTTTTTGCCCCTGGTGACGCGACCTGCTTCTTTTCTACAGATTCCCAACATAACTCTATCATCCTTCATCCAAGTGCTTTGGGGGAGGCTTTTGGCTTATTTGGGGTATACCCTGGTGCTAGGCTCCCAACATTAGGAGCTGAAGAGCGAATAGCCCAGAAGGAGTGATGGGGATTGGAGGAGGTTGGTGCTCCAATTCAGTCAGTCTTCCCAGGGGACTGGGTGGGGAAGTCTGTGTTGGAAGATGGCATGTCTGACAATGTCTGAACCTCACTTTTTTTTCTCTTCCTTCCACAGATGAATTGGGTGAGTATCAGAAGGCAGGTGTGTGGGAGGCCAAGGGTCTGGGTACTCACAGCACAGGGCCAGATTTGCCTTTTTTTTTTTTTTTTTTTTATTTTTTGTCTTTTTGAGACAGGGTCTCCCTGTAGCCCCCAGCTTGGAATTTGATATATAGACCAGGCTAGCCTCAAACTCATAGAGATCCACTGCCTCTGCTTCCCGAGTGCTGAGATTAAAGGTGTGTGCCACCATACCTGGCTCAGACTTCGTTTTTTAAAAATTTAATTTGTTTTTATTTTTTGTTTAATTTTTTTAAAAAATTATTTATTTTTATATTTTTTATGTGTATGAGTGTATTGCCTGCATGTAGGTAAGTGCACCTGTGTCATGCAATGCCTGCAGAGGACAGAAGAGGCTGTTGGATCCCCTGGAACTGGGAGTTACATATAATTGTTAGCTGCCATGTGGGTGCCATGTGGGTGGGATTCAAACCCCAGTCTTCTGCAAGAACATTCAGTGTTCTTAACCACTGAGCCATCTCTCCAGCCCCTAATTTATTTTTGTTTTATATGTATGAGTGTTTTGCCTGCATGTATGTAAGTGCACCCATGTCATGCAATGCCTTCAGAGGCCAGAAGAGGGCGTCAGATTGCCTGAAACTGGAGTTGTGAATGGTTGTTAGCCTCCATGTGGGTGCTGGGAACCTGGGTCCTCTGCAAGAGCAGTCAGTGCTCTTAATCGGCTGGGCCATCTCAAATGAGTCTTCCTTGTTTGATGGGGGTTGGGGTGTCTTAGTGATTCCCAGGACTCTTGGGGATTTGAACACAGTCACACTCCTGAGGTCCAAGCACTCAGCAGATGCCTGGGTTTCTGTTATCTCTGCAAGTCCTCACTCAGTGGATGTCATTGATCCTCCTTGTGCCAGGCTCTGGGCCAGGCAGGAGGAATCCAGCCTTGGTCAAAACCAAGTTGTTGGCCCTCAGGAGCTGACACTGTCCACTGGGGGAGTCAGAAGACAAGTGAATGAGCAGGAAGATGAGAAAGATTAGGATGAGGCTTGGCAGGAATTCAACCAGCAGAGGGAGCCGCCTGGGGAGACCCAGTACAGCTAGGCATGGTGGATCCCAGCACTCACAAGGCTGAGGCAGGAGGATGAGGAGAGTTTGAGACCAGGCTACAAAGCAGGGCTTTGTCTCAAAAGACGCTTTGTCTCAAAAACAGGAGAGAGAGAGAGAGAGAGAGAGAGAGAGAGAGAGAGAGAGAGAGAGAGAAACAGAGAGAAACAGAGAGGAGAGAAGGGGAAGGGAGGGAGGGAGAAAGATAAAGAGGTGACATTTGTGCAGAGGGTGGAAGATCAAGTGTCATATGGGTTCAGTGGGGAAAAAACTGGGAACCAGGAAGGAGGAGCAACTTCAGGGCCCTGAAGCTGACCAAGCCATGTGGGTGCAAGAAACGGGGCAGCAGTGGTTTTTTCCTGAGATGAATGGAGTTTTCGTGGAAAATTTGTTTTGAGACAGAGTCTCATGTATCCTAGGCTGGCCTTAAACTCACTATGTAGTCGAGGATGACCTTGAACTTCTGATCCTCCTATCTCCATCTCCTGAGTGCTGGGATTGCATGAAATGCCGAGGATGGAACCCAGGGCTTTGTGCCTGCTAGGCAAGCACTCTACCAACTGAGCTACAGTCCTACAGTCCCAAACCTTTTTTCGCTTCTTTGAGGGAGGGTCTTGCCTTGCCATGTAGGCCAGGGAGGCCTCCAGTTCACTATCTTCCAGCCTCAGCTTCAGAAGTGATTGGGATTATACAGTTGCAACAGCATGCCTAGCTTATTGCTCTTATTATTATTATTATTAATTATTTTGAAATACTAGGGATAGAATCTAGGGCCAACTCCGTGCTTGGGAGGTGTTCTACCACTGAGCCACACCCCCAGCCCCTCACTGATTGGGGGATCCTAGGCAGGTGCTCTACCACTGAGCCATGCCCCCAGTCCCTCACTGGGGGATTCTAGGCAGGAGCTCTACTGCTGAGCTGTATCTGCATTTGGACTACACTTTTTTTTTTTGTCTCTTTGAGACAGGGTCTCCCTGTAGCCCCAGCTGGTCTGGAGCTCACTATGTAGACCAGACTGGCTTCAAACTCAGAGATCCACCTGCCTCTGCCTCCCGAGTGCTGGGATTAAAGGCATGTGCCACCACACCCAGCTGGAGTACATTTTATGTGAGGATGTTGTTGACTTTGACTCCCAGGAAAAGTGGGAGTTAAGTAGTAGTAGTAGTGGTAATAATAATAATAATAATAATAATAATAATAATAATAATAAATGAAGAGGAGGAAGGGGAGGAGGAGAAGGAGGAGGAGGGGGAGAAGGAGGAAGCAGCAGCTAGGCTTCTGAGCAAAAGAGGGACAGACTGGGATGTAACAAAATCCCAGGGGCTGTTGACAGGTGTAGAGAGCAAAATGGAGAAACAGGCAGAGCTGGTACCTGCCTTGGTCCAATTGGGAAATAGAGGATGGGGCCAGGGACAGCAGGGAGAAGACAGGAAGGGCAAATAGTTTAGAAACAGGCAGAAGTGTTGTCTGAAGCCCAGCACGGTGGCCCTTGCTAGTTATTCCAGTGCTAGGAGGCCGAGGCAAGGAGGACTGTGAGTTGGAGGCCAGCCTTGGCTACACAGTGAGACCCTGTCTTAAGTTAAGAGGGTGGGAAAAGGCAGAGAGCAAAGGATGGGAGTCCACACTTGTCCCGTCTCAACCTCACCCCTGCGTCTGCTTGTCCCTCAGAAATCATCGACGAATACATTAAAGAGAACGGCTTCGGCCTGGATGGGTCGCAGCTGGGTCCGGGCGAGATGCCACGCCTGGTACCCCGTGGGTCCGCCTCGCTCAGCACCGTCACCTTGGGCCCTGCTGCACCGCCTCCTCCCTCCACGCCGCCGCCCTGGAGCTGCACCCTGGGCCGGCTGGTGTCACCTGCACCTGGCCCCGGCCCACGGCCGCACCTGGTCATCACCGAGCAGCCCAAACAGCGAGGGATGCGCTTCCGCTACGAGTGTGAGGGCCGCTCTGCTGGGAGCATCCTTGGAGAAAGTAGCACTGAAGCCAGCAAGACGCTGCCCGCCATCGAGGTGCGTGCGCCGGGATGGGGGCGGGGTGCTCCTTATTATTAACGCTTTTGATGTTGGGCCAGGGACCAGGATCAACCTGCTCCCCTCCTTCCAAACTCAAAAGAGCCTGGGGTGGTGGCTTACATATAAATCCCAGCACGCAAGAGGTTGAGGCCAGAGGATACCAAGTTCGAGACCAGCCTGGATTACTAAGTGTGATCTTGCCTAAAAAACAATAGGCAAGGTCATATGACATAGATTTAAAAATTGTGTGGAGCCAGGCGTGGTGGCGCACACCTTTAATCCCAGCACTTGGGAGGCAGAGGCAGGCGGATCTTTGTGAGTTCGAGGCCAGCCTGGTCTACATAGTGAGTTCCAGGACAGCTGGTGCTACAGGGAGACAATGTCTCAAAAAAAAAAAAAAAAAAAGACCAAAAAAAAAAGTGGAATTGTTTCTTGTATTGTATTACAAAGTAGCACCTGTAATCCTGTGGGGTCTCCCAGACAGTTGTCATCCAAAGTGACCCTCAATATCCCATTTTGCCCCTAGAGGGCAGCACAAACTCATTCAAATTCTCTTACTTGTATTCCACTGACTTGGGCTTTGGAAGTTCAGAGCTGGTTTCAGAGACTTTGATGCCAGCAGGGGTTAGCCACTGATCCAGAGGAGAAAGTGAAGGGCTGAGTCAGGGACTAATGGGACTTCACAGTCACCTACAGCTGCTGAGCAAGAAATCTGGCTTTTTGTTCTTTTTTTCAGTACTGAGGATTGAACCCAGGTTTTTGCACATGCTAAGCAAAGGCTCTACCACTGAACCTCACCCCAGCCCCTCACTGGGGGATTCTAGGCAGGTGTCTACCAGTGAGCCACACCCCAGCCCCTCACTGGGGGATTCTAGGCAGGGGCTCTACCACCGAACCACACCCCAGCCCCTCACTGGGGTATTCTAGGCAGGGGCTCTACCACCGAGCCACACCCCAGCCCCTCACTGGGGGATTCTAGGCATGTGCTCTACCACTGAACCACACCCCCAGCCCCTCACTGGGGGAGTCTAGGCAGATGCTCTACCACTGAGTCACACCACAGCCCTAGGCAGGTGGTCTATGGACTGACCACATCCCCAGCCTTCTGTTTTCACTTTTTATTTGGAACCACACCCTCACTTGGGTGCTCATGTTGGCCTTGAATTTACTCTGTAGTCCAGGTAGGCCTTGAACTTTCAATCCTGCCCCAGACTCCCAAGTAGCTGGGATTACAGGCCTATGATACCGGACCCCAAACTTTGGGACTCAAGGGACCTGCCTGCATAGCCTCCTAGGTTAGATGGACCTACGAGTATATACCACAACCATGTCAGCTCTTTCTTTCTAGCTGAGCAAATATATATTTGCTCAGCAATTCAGTATAAATCTTTATGATCTGGATATAGGGTATAGGCATGTGATCTAAGCACTTCAGAGGCAGGAGGGACTGGAGAGAACACTAACTGCTCTTGCAGAGAACCTGGGTTTGGTTCCTAGCACCCACGTGGCAGCTAACAACTGTCTGTAACTCCAGTTCCAGGGAATCCAACGCCCTGTTCTAGCCTCTGAGGGCATTACATGGCATGGGTGTGCTTACATACACGCAGGCAGACTACTCATACACATAAAATAAAAATCAGTGGGGCGTGCACACCTTTAATCCCAGCACTCAGGAGGCAGAGTCAGGCGGATCTCTGTGAGTTCAAGGCCAGCCTGGTCCACATAGTGAGTTCCAGGACAGCTGGGGCTACAGGGAGACCCTGTCTCAAAAAGGATTGATTTTTTTTTTTTTTTTGGTCTTTTTGAGACAGGGTCTCCCTGAAGCCCCAGCTGTCCTGGAACTCACTATGTAGACCAGGCTGCCCTTGAACTCACAGAGATCTGTCTGCACCTGTCTCCCCAGTACAGTGCTGGGATTAAAAGTATGCACCACCACTCCTGGCCATAAATAAAGCTGGAGAGATAGCTCAGAGGTTAAGAGCACTGTATGCTCTTGCAGAGGACCCAGGTTCAATTCCCAGCACCCACATGGTGGCTAAGGAACTGTCCATAACTCCAGTTCCAGGGGATCCAAAGCCTTCTTCTGACCTCCGTGGGCATTGCGAGACATGGGTGCATCTACCTACATGTAGGCAATACACTAGTACACATTAAAGTAATAAATAAAACATTTTTAAATAATCAAACCACACAAGAGGGCTACAGAGATGGCTCAGTGGTTAAGAGCACTGGCTGCTCTTGCAGAGGACCCGGGTTTGAGTCCCAGCACCCACGTGGTGGCTAACAGTTGTCCATAATTCCAGTTCCAGGGGCTCCAACTCTCTCTTCTGACCTTCTCAGGTATTGTGTGACATGGGTGCACTTATATACATATAAACAATACACTCATACACATAAAATATTAAAGAAAAAAACTTTTTTTGTTTTTTTTTTGAGACACGGTCTCCCTGTAGCCTGAAACTCATAATGTAGACCAGGCTGGCTTTGAACTCACAGAGATCCACCTGCCTCTGTCTCCTGAGTGCTGGGATTAAAGGCAAGTGCTACCACGCTCAGCCATAAAGAAAATATTTTTAAAAATCAAACCAAACAAAACAAGAACCAGGTGTAGTAGGTTCACTCCTGTAATCCCAGCACTCTGGAGGTAGAGACAGGAGGATCAGGAGTTCAAGTTCAGCCCCAGCTACATAGTAAGTTTGAGGCTAGCCTGGGCTACGTGATTACATGAGAACATGTTTCAAAAACTGGAAAAAAAAAAATTCAAGAAAGAGCCCGGTATGGTGGCTTACACCTGTCATCCAAGACCTGGGAGGTAAAGGCAGGAGGATCAGGAGTTCAAGGTCAGCCTGACTGCAGAGCAGTTTAGAGGCCAGCCTGGGCTGCTTGATTACATGACAACATGTTTCAAAAACTGAAAAAAATCCAACAAAGTGGGAGGAAGGATGGAAGACAGGGAGAAAAGGAGGGAGGGAGGGAGGGACGGAGGGACAGAGGGATGGAGGGACAGAGGGAGGGAGACAGGTGGGACAGATAACACAGGCAAAGTTTCCCCAGGACACCAATGAGAAGTTTCCAGCTTTGGATAGTAGAGAGATCTCATGCAGAGCCTTCCCTGGTTCCAGGGAGGAGGAGAGAAAGTGGGGATGGGGAGCTACAAGGAAGTCCCAGGGAGCTTAGATAGGGACAGGTGACCATAGACAAGCCCGTGTTTTCCTGCAGCTCCGGGACTGTGGCGGGCTTCGGGAGGTGGAGGTGACAGCCTGTCTGGTGTGGAAGGACTGGCCACACCGGGTGCACCCACATAGCCTTGTGGGGAAAGACTGCACTGACGGAGTCTGCAGGGTGCGGCTGCGGCCTCATGTCAGCCCCCGACACAGGTACCTGACCCTGACCCCTGACCCCTGGCCCCAACCTCTCACCTCTGTTTATGGAAATTCCAATGGTAAACATTACCTTTGGAAGGCTAGGGCAGGGACATCTTCTTGAACCAGACCTTCCCTATGCCTATCTGGGGCTGGGGTGGGGGGTTGGTGGGGGAAGGCCAGGAGGCCGAAGAGGGCCTACTATAGGTCTCAGAACCTCACACACATTCACATATCTTTTGATTCTGCTTTTTTTTTTTAAAAGACATCTGTAGCCCCAGCTGGCCTAGAACTCACTGTGTAGACCAGGCTGGCCTTGATCTCACAGAGATCTGCCTGCCTCCGCCTCCCAAGTGCTGGTAATAAAGGTGTGTACCACCACACATGGGTCTTTTTTATTTTTTTTATTATTTATTTATTTATTTATTTATTTATTTATTTTTTGGTCTTTTTGAGACAGGGTCTGTCTGTAGCCCCAGCTGTCCTGGAACTCACTATGTAGACCAGGCTGGCCTTGACCTCACAGAGATCTGCCTGCCTCTGCCTCCCAAGTGCTGGTAATAAAGGTGTGTACCACCACACATGGGTCTTTTTTATTTTTATTTTATTTCAAATATTTTATTTATTATCTTTATTTTAGTTGTATAAGTGTATTGCCTGCAAGTATGTAAGTGCACCTGTGACATGCAATGCCCACAGAGATCAGAAGAGGGCATTGGAGCCCCTGGAACTGGAGTTATAGATGGTTGTTAGCCACCATGTGAGTGCTGGGAATCAAACCCAGGTCCTCTGTGAGAGCAGTCAGTGCTCTTAACCGCCGAGCCATCTCTCTAGCCCCCTTGTTTTTTTCTTACACAGGGTGTCACTATGTAGCCCTACCTGGCCTGGATCTTCTATACTGTATAGACCAGGCTAGGCTTGGTCTCACATAGATCTACCTGCCTCTGCCTCTCAAATGCTGGAATTAAAGGCCCCTTTTTGTGTCTGTGTCTGTGTGTAGGTACATCCACATAAGTGCAGGTTTCCTCAGAAGTCATAGGCATTAGGGGATCCTGGAGGTTGTGAGCCACCCAATGTGGGTGCCTGGTGCTGGGAACTAAACTTCTGTCTCCTGTGCAGGCCCTTAACCACTGAGCCACCTCTCTAGCCCTGATGTTGAACTTTTAAAAAAAATATTTTATTTGTTATTTTTATTTTATGTGTATGTGTGTATTGCCTGCCTATAGGTAAGTGCACCCATGTCATGCAATGCCCACGGAGGACAGAAGAGGCTGTCAGATCCCCTGGAACTGGAGTTATGGACAGTTCTTAGCTGCCATGTGGGTGCTGGGATTCAAACCCAGGTCTTCTGCAAGAACAGGCAGTGTTCTTAACCACTGAGCTATCTCTCCAGCCCCCTTTTTTAAAATTTTTAAAAAATATTTTGCTGGGTGTGGTTGTGCACTCCTTTAATCCCAGCACTTGGGAGGCAGAGGCAGGCAGATCTCTGTGAGTTCAAGGCCAGCCTGGTCTACATAGTGAGTTCCAGGAGAGCTGGGGCTAAAAGGAGACCCTATCTCAAAAAGACAAAAAAAAAATTTTTTTTATTTATTATTTTTATTTTATGTATACGAGTGTATTGCCTGCATGTATATGAGTGCCCCTGTGTCATGCCATGCCGAGGAGGTCAGAAGAGGGCTTTAGAACCCCCTGGAACTGGAGTTAAGGACAGTTCGTAGCTACCATGTGGGTACTTGGAATTGAACCCTGGTCCTCTGCAAGAGGAGCAGTCAGTGCTCTTAACCACTGAGCGATCTCTCCAGCCCCTGATGTTGAACTTTTGATCTCCCTGCCTCTATCTCCTTATTGCTGGGGTCACAGGTATACACCACCACAGCCAGCTTTTGAGTTTTTTGTTTGAGACTTGGTCTTGCTATGTGTCTCCAGCTAGCCTCAAATTCAGGATCCTCCTGCTTCAGCTCTCCAAGTACGAGACTCCAGCGTCATTTGCAATCTTGTTGTTATAAAGGAGCCTGGCTGGTGTCTTTACATGGCAAAATTAAGGCAGGTTCTAGGTCTCCTCAAGAATCCTGGTGAGGGACTGAAGAGATGGTTTGGCAGTTAAGAGAACCTGCTGATCTTATAGAGGACCTGGGTTCAGTTCCCAGCACCAACAGCCTTTAACTCCAGTTCTAGGGGATCTGAGGCCCTCTTCTCACCTCTGCAGGCCTTGTTTGACATGGGTGCACTTACATACATGCAGGCAATGCACTCATACACATAAAATAAGAATAATAAAATGTTTTTTAAAATCTGGTCTCTATAGCGAATCCAGGCCAGCTAGGGCTACAGGAAGACCCTGTCTCAAAAAGACAAAAAAAAATAATAATTAATTAATTAATTAATTAAAGGGGGCTAGATGATGGTGCACTGTTCTAATCTCAGCATAGGTAGAGGCAGGTGGATCTCTGTGAGTTCGAGGCCAGCCTGGTCTATGTAGTGAGTTCCAAGCCTGGCAGTGCTACATAATGAGAGTCTGTCTCAAAAACGTACTGGAGTGTACTGGTGAACTCTGAGAGGTTTAAATCCCAGCTTCTTCCCAATGCTAGCCCTGCTGGGGCTGGGGCAGTGCTGGTGGATCCGCCCTATAGTCTCTGGAGGGTGCTGTTCCTCACAAGCTCCATTCCTCTCCCTGCTCAGCTTTAACAACCTGGGCATCCAATGTGTCCGGAAGAAAGAAATCGAAGCTGCTATCGAGCGCAAGATCCAGCTGGGAATCGACCCCTATAATGGTGAGCGCCCTGTCTGCCTCACCTGCCTCCCAGACCTTCTCCCTTTACTTGGTTTTCTTTTCTTTTTTTCAATTAAAAATACATTACATAGCTGGGTGCATGCCTTTTAATCCCAGCACTTGGGAGATAGAGGCAGGTGGATCTCTGTGAGATCAAAGCCAGCCTGGTCTACATGGCAAGTTCCAGGCCAGCTGGGGCTATAGGGAGACCCTGTCAAAAAAAAAAAAAAGACCTAAGCCAGCTAAGCCAGGTGTGGTGGTGCACGCCTTTAATCCCAGCACTCGGGAGGCAGAGACAGGAGGATCTTTGTGAGTTTGAAGCCAGCATGGTCTACATAGTGAGTTCCAGGACAGCTGGGGCTACAAGGAGACCCTGTCTCAAAAAAAAAAAAAAAAGACCTAATATATGTAATATATATTACAATTACTTTGTAATAAGTGTGTATGTGTGTGGATGCACGTGGGTCATGGGTAAGCCTGTGGAAGTCAAAGGACAGACTGCAGGATTCCATTCTTTCCCTCCACCATGTGGGTCCAGGGATTGAATTCAGGTTGTCAGGCTTGGCAGCAAGCACCTTTACTAACTGAGCAATCTTGATGGCCACTTTAACATTTTTTATTACTATTTATTTATTCGATTTATTTATTTAGTGTGGGGAGCAGCACACACGTGACATGGTGTGCGAGTAGAGTTAAGAGGTAAACCTGCACCAGTCAGTTCTCTTATTACACCATGTGAATCTCAGGGATCCAACTCAGATCATCAGGCTTGGTGACAAGAACTTTTACTCGCTGAGCCATCTCACTGGCCCTTATAGTTGATTCTTCTTTTGGGGGGTTTTGATAGACAGGGTTTCATGTAGCCCAGGCTGTCCGTGAACTCACTGTGTAGTTGAGGATGGCCTCGAACTCTGATCCTCCTGCCTCTACCTCTCCAGGGCTGAGATAACAGGAATGCACCACCACGCCTGGCCCACTCTCCCTTTCTGCCCCCCTCATTCCTTTAGCTCCACCAGCCCCGTTCCTTCCCTAGTACACGTTCCCACACTCAGCCTTCCCCTGCCCCCATCCAGCTGGCTCCCTGAAGAACCATCAGGAGGTGGATATGAACGTCGTGAGAATCTGCTTCCAGGCCTCGTATCGGGACCAGCAGGGACAGCTGCGCCGCATGGACCCCGTGCTCTCTGAGCCCGTCTATGACAAGAGTGAGTCAAGGGTGCTGTGTCCGTTAGGATTGGCCTTGTCCACAGGTATCAGAAAGCGTCCCCTGACAGTGGCATGAATGAACAGGACCTCAGTTATTTTCGTTTGTCTCCCTTATTACATCTGTGCACAGTGATTTGACTGCTCAGCAATGTCAGAAGGGCTGGTTCTTGCACTTATCCATTATATTCTTTTCCCTCATGGGCACATGATGAGTGCCATAGCTCCAGATACCACATTTGCATTCCCATGAGGGGATGGGCAGTGTCACCCTGTACAGTTGTGTAGGTTGTACCTTGTCCATTTATATATTTCTTCCTTTAACTTTTTGTTTTTGTCATCTTTTTATTGATTAAATGTGTTCTTTGATAATTTCATACATGTATATGGTGCATTCTGTTTCCCCCCATCTCTATTTCCCTTGAACAGATCCCTTTCCCACATTCATGACTTTTTTGTTTTGTTTTGTGACCCTCTGATTTTAACTAGGGCTATCTCCATAACCACAGGTTTGGAATTATGCATTGGAGCAGGTGGGCTCACTGTTGGCTATACAACTGAAAACCTTGACTGTCCCTCCCCGACAATCCATCAGGAGACAATAGTTCATCTTGAGACAAGGTCTCATGTAGCCTAGGCTGGCCTCAAACTATCTATGTAGCTGAACATGAGCTTAAACTCCTGATCCTCCTGCCTCCACCTCCCCAATGCTGGGTTTCATGGCTATACTACCATACCTGGTTTATGGGATGCTGGAGATGGAACCTAGAGTTCTTGGCATGTTAGGGAAACACTCTACCAACTAAGCTGCATTCTCAGCCATTTATTTATTTATTTATTTATTTATTTATTTATTTATTATTTAGTGACTGTGATATATGGCACCACCCACCTCACTGCCTTGAGACAGGGTCTCTCCCTCAACTGGAAACTAGCTGTTTCAGCTAAGCTGGCTGGCCGGTGAGTTTATTTATTCTTTTTGAGACAGGGTCTCCCTGTAACCCCAGCTGCCCTGGAACTCACTATGTAGACCAGTCTGGCCTTGAACTCAGAAAGATTGGTCTACCTCTGCCTCCCAAGTGCTGGGACTATAGGCGTGTGCCACCACACCTGGCTTCCTTATTTATTTTTAACATTTCAGTTATTCTTAAAAAGATTTTATTTCTATTTTACATGTATGAGCATATTGCCTGCATGTATGTAAGTACACCCATGTCATGTGGTGCCTGCCAAGGTCAGAAGAGGGTGTCAAATCCCCTGGAACTGGAGTTAACAGATGGTTGTTAACTGCCATGTGGGTGCTGGGAATCCAACCTGGGTGATCTGAAAGAGCAGCCAGTGCTCTTAACTGCTGAGCATCTCTCCAGCCCCTATTTTAGTTTATTGTATGTGTGTATGAGTATTTTGCCTGTATGTATGTAAGTGCATCATGTGCATGCAATACCTGTGGAGGCCATAAGAGGGCATCAGATCACCTGGAACTGGAATTACAGAAGGTTGTTAGCTGCCATGTGGGTGCTTGGGTACCAAACCCAGGTCCTCTGCAAGAACAGCCCTTAACAACAGAGTGAACCCTCCAGCTATTATTATTTTGTTTGTTTGCTGTTTTGTTTTTGAGACAAATGGCTTGGAATTCACTGTGTAGACTAGACTGACCTTCATCTTGGAAGAATCCTCATGCCTGTGCTCCTGAGTGCTGGGATTCTGGGATTACAGGCCTGCACCAATATGTCTGGCATTACTGAATATTTTTCCTTAAAGCCTCTACATGCTCTCTCTCACTGCCTGAATTTGATCATTTGGTCCTCTCTAACCAATCAGCAGTGGTCAGGGGGAAGTGATGCTCTGATTAGAATGGTCTAGAGAATAATAATCATGATGACCTCAGGACAGGCTCAACTTTCCATTCTATCCATGACTGAGGTGGGGAGTGGTCTTGATTCTGGAAGGACAGGTTTAGGGGACTATTTTGG